CCCCGTCCTCACCCCCACTCCCCCCACCCCCAGCCTCTGATTCTTCAGCGTGGAAGGGAAATAATAACCCTGCTTGCCGCTGTGATAGGTGCTTAATAAATACTTGTTAAATAAACAAAGGGATGCAATGATGCTTCCGTGAAATAGACCAGGCAGTGGCTGGCCTGAAAGCAGCCACAAAGAAGGAGACAGTTTCAGCTGGGCTCCAGGGCTGAGCAGTGTGACCTGGGGCAAGTCACTTCACCTCCCCAATTGTCCCAGCCAGTAAGAATGAGATGCATAGAGGCCCCGCAGGCCAGCTGACTGTCCCTAAGTGTGGCCTCCTGGCCCTTCCTTCTGCCCTGCAAGGGAGCCTGCCCGTCAGGTCTCTGGGAGGGCCGCTGCTGTGGGCTGGAGGCTGGGGTGAGGTGCGCCTGCGGTCATCGGTAATTCTCCCGTGAGTGGGGGGCTCCACACAGGGAGATTTGCCCCCGTAGCGTGCCGGGTCGCCGGGATTCACCTGGGGTCGCTCTCATTTTATCAGCTTTTCTTTCTTTCTTTTTAGTCTGTTTATTTTGAGAGAGTGCAAATGAGGAAGGGGCAGAGAGAGAGGGAGAGAGAGAGAGAATCCCAAGCAGTCTCCACAGTCAGCACAGAGCCCAACATGGGGCTCGAACCCACAAACCATAAGATCACAACCTGAGCTGAAACCAAGAGCAGGACGCTTAACCCACTGCGAACCACCCAGGGGTCCCTATCAGCTTTTGCAAAGGGAGTTGTGGGCAAGGAGGGAGCATTTGGCGTCATGAAATCAGAGGGAAAACAGAGTGATAGGACTGGGGTCTCTTTCCTGCCTCCTCTGGACCCCTGGCAGGCAGGCTGTCTGGCCCCCTTGAGAAGGAGCAGGCTGGCGATGGTGCCCGCGAGTTGACAGCTCTGTGCCTCGCGGTGCCACAGCCTTGCTCTGGGCCTCAGTTTCTCTAATTGTCCGGTGAGGTCTGGACTAGATTTGGGATGGACCAGATTTGGGATGTTTACAGCACAGTCAAATTAAATGGAAATTAAATGGAAAACAATTTTTTTTTGGTAACTGACACAATATTGTCAATCCTTCATTTTGCCAAGAAGGGACATTAAGTTTTTATTGTTTTAAATTTGTTTTTTAAAATATGTTGGGTTTTTTTTGTTTTTTTTTTTTGTTTTTTGAGAGAGAGAGAGACAGAGAGACGGAGACAGAACATGAGCCGGGAGGGTCAGAGAGAGAGGGAGACACAAAATCCAAAGCAGGCTCCAGGCTCTGAGCTGTCAGCACAGAGCCCGATATGGGGCTCGAACACAGACCATGAGATCACAATCTGAGCCAGAATCCAAAGTCCACTGAGCCTCCCTCCCCTCTCCCCAAAGTTGCCCTGGGACATTAAGGTGGTTTTTTTTTTTATGTTTTTTATTTATTTTTGAGAGACAGAGAGCGCGCGTGAGTAGGGGAGGGTCAGAGAGAGGGGGGGACACAATCTGAAGCAGCCTCCAGGCTCTGAGCTGTCAGCACAAAGCCCGACATGGGGCCTTAACCCACGAACTATGAGATCATGACCCGAGCTGAAGTCCGAGGCTTAACCAACTGAGCTACCCAGGCGGCCCTTGGGACATTAAGTTTTTAAAGGCAGCCAGCATCTCCCAAAGAAAGAAAGTTTACCATGAAAAGAGTCCCAGGGTGACTCAGAACAGTCAGCAGGGGAAGCCGGCCCGGGAGGGGAAGAGCTCATCCAAGGTCCCCCCACAAGGCAGGGAGAGGGGCCCGGCCTTCCAGAGCCCCCACCGTAGAAAATGTGCTGAGCCCGTGTTCTTCCACGTGCGTTCATGTCAAGGCACACTTGTTGCTCAAGAATTAGACCAGCTTCCTGCCTTCTGGAAAAGGACAGTTTAGCTGTGGACACAACACAGGCACCTGCACAACCAGGCCGCGTGTTAATACAACAGGAGTCGTTCCTCTTCGATGATCTGTGCCCTTTCTCGTCTGCACTGCTCCCTTGGGCCCAAGGAAGCCCTGTGTGACAAACAAGGGAAAGAAAGCCCGGCCGTCTCCCGGCCATTGTCACATGAAAGCACAATGCCAGGCGTAGTACTTTGCACATTTCGGTCGGCCGTCGTGTGGGGCGCTGGCGGTGAGCCTATCGTTCCGGCCGGAGGAGTTAGCGGTGACAGCAGCGTTCGCGTCTTTGAGCGGGTCGCTGCAGACAGGGCCCTCACCAACCGGGCGTCTTCAGGGGGACAGGCTGGACAGGGGGTGAGTCTGGGAGTAGCTTTCCCAATGGCCCCTAAGCTGACATTTCAGAGCGTGGCAGCGCGAGCAGAGCGATGGGCGTGGGGCCTGGCACTCTGCAAGGGTGGGGGGCAAGCAGGGCCCCCGCTGGGCTGAGGTGTGAGGCCCACAGCGATGGCCTGATGGAAAGGCAGGGGCTGGGGGAGTGTGGGGCAGGGACATGCAGAGCCTCAGGGCGACCCCAGAGCATGGGGCTGGGCTGATTCCTGCCACTTCCGCTCAGGAAGGAGGGGAGTGGGCAGTGCTGGTGAGAGAGAACCAGGGGCAGAGATCAGCTCCTTCACCCTCACCCCCAGGGCCCTCCTAGAGAGTGAGAGCCCCATAAAGAGCCTTCTCCTACAGCACAGGTCCCCTTGAGCAGCGAGCCAGGAGTCCCCAGCACCCTGGGTAAGGCCTTGGCCTTGGGTAGGGCCTCGGCCCTGTCTGGGCCTCAGTGTCACCTGTCAAAGGCCAGATCACCACGCTTTGTCCCCTCTGCCTCTCTCTCTGAGGCCTGTGGCCAGTGGGTCCAGGGCCTGCTAGGGCCAAGCAGGTGCCCTCTCTTCTTTGGCCCCAAACGGCACACCAAGTGCTCCAGGGAGGATGCTCTTCTTTCCAGGAGCACCTTAACCTTCCAGAAACTCTGGAGCAGGTGTGAGGAGCCCTAGCTCCGGGCTGGTCCATCCTGCCTCACTCTAGGACCCTTAGCAAATCTGAGCCTCAGATGTAAAATAAGGGTCTTGAAATCAGTGATCGCCAGTTCCTTCGGGCTCTGGCTCCTTCTGTGGTGCTAACGGAGGCATTCAAGACAGTGGGACCGAGCAGAGGGAGATTTTAGTGAAGGAAGACCTCCCTAAAGATAGAAGGTGCTCCTGCCCCCCCCCAACTCCTTCAGGGCTACCCCCTGGCTGTTAGGGCTCTGGGGAAGGTGACAGAGAGGGTCCGGGGCTCCCGGCGGAAGTTACGACCTCCCAGGGGCCAGCATTGCACACCGGCATTGTCTGTTAGGTCTTCAGACCAGTGATGGGGCTCACCGGTCCCATTTTCCAGAAGAAGAAACTGAGGCTCCCAGCAGCCAAGTAACTCGCCCATGTTGTGCGGCGGGTAAAGGACTTCAGTGTGTGACTGTGGGACCCAGGGAGCTCCTCTGAGGCGGGGAGAGAAGAAGAACCCAGAGTGGGGGGTGATGGCGGGGGAGGAGGGGGGCAGGACTCACTCTCTCCCTGGGGCCTGGCCGCGGGAGGGAGTTGCTCCCGGGAAGAGGCGCAGGCAGGCTCCAGGCTGGTGATCTCTAAATTACAGCGTTGGCGCACACCGGTTGCTGCGGCAACCGAGTTGTCCTGAACGGGGAAGTGTATAAACATTGCCACAGATGCACAATTAGATCAGGAAGAAGAATAGAACAGAAAATAGAAACTTCCAGCCTTATATAATTCTGGGCCAAAACGTTACCGGGAGCCCAGGCCCAGCCCTGCCAGCGGCTGGGCGGCCCCCCCCCCGCCACCATCACCCTCTCTCTTCTGGGGCCCCAGTGGAAGGGAGAGGTGGAGGGGAGGGTCTGCCCTCCGTGGGCCCAGCTGGTGCCACCGGGTGGGGTAAGGGCCGTCCGCCTCCAGTGAAAGAGCTGAGGATGGTGACAGGTGAATCCTGCCTCTCGACAGCTTCCTCCTGCTTTCCAGAAGCAGGGAAGGAAGACAGGAGGGGGACCCATTTTAACCGAGCACCTGCTACCTCCTGGGGTCCTGTGAGGTAGGGTTTTGATACCCATTTTCCAGGTGAGGAAACCGAGGCTCAGAGAGGGGAACTGAGTTCTCTGAGGTGTCACAGCAAGGCAGCGGGTGTCTGCGTCTGCCTCTGGGTCTCCATTCCGTGAGCTCAAAGATGTCGATGGCACCTGGGGCCTGAAGGTTAGACACACCTGTATTTGGATTTACTCATCAGCTGTGTGGCCGTGGGCAGGGCACTTCCCCTCTGTGAGCCCTGATCCCTCGCCTGTGACGTGGGACTAGCAATGCCCACATTGGAGCCAAAGCCCAGGGCTCCTCCTTCCTTGACCTTGACCATCACCGTTGGTGTTTTCACCCTCTTCTCTTCAATACATGCGGGCTCGGGAAAGAGACCGAGGTGGGGCACCAGGGGCCCGCCCAGTCTGGGCGAACTTTCTGCAACGATAGAAATGTTCTCTGTCAACTCTGTCTGGTAATGCAGCCACCAGGCACCTGAAATGTGCGGAACTGAAGTTAAAACTGTATTTAACTAAAAGTCAAAAGTCACAGGTGGCCCTTGGCTGCCGTACTGGGCCACCTATGAGGGTGTCCAGCCCCAGAGAGACCCAAGAGGGCAGAGGCTGGACCCAGGGAGGTGAGTGGGGAGCCAGAGCAGTCACAGCTCCCTTCTGCTCGGGGCAAGCAGGACGGATGGCGGAGCCATGATGGGTATGAGGAAGGTCCCCGGCCAGGGGGTGGGGGCCGAGGAGGGCTGGAGTGGAGGGGGCAGTCCCAGGGGCTCTCTCCTGGGGGCCTCAGCGTCTGGGCCTCTGAGGGGCTGGCTCTGGTCCTGACACCCCCGGCCTGAATGCAGAAGCCTGACCTGCCACATTCTGCCCACAGGGAGAGGAGGCCCTGGGTCCTGCTCCCCTCGTGAGCACCTTTGGGTGGGGGTGGCGATGGGGACGTCGGTCCCGGGCCGCCGGCATCTCACCTGTCCGGCGTCTCCTCCCCAGGCCCTGCGTCTCCCCAGGTGACCACGCCGGCTTCAGGACATGCACGGGCACAGCCGCAACGGGCAGGCCCACGTGCCCCGGCGGAAACGCCGCAACCGCTTCGTCAAGAAGAACGGCCAATGCAACGTGTACTTCGCCAACCTGAGCAACAAGTCGCAGCGCTACATGGCGGACATCTTCACGACGTGCGTGGACACGCGCTGGCGCTACATGCTCATGATCTTCTCGGCGGCCTTCCTCGTCTCCTGGCTCTTCTTCGGCCTCCTCTTCTGGTGTATCGCCTTCTTCCACGGCGACCTGGAGGCCGGCCCGGCGGCGGCGGCGGCGGCAGCGGCGGCGGGTGGGGCCCCGACGGGTGGCGGCGCGGCAGCCCCGGCGGCCCCCAAGCCCTGCATCATGCACGTGAACGGCTTCCTGGGCGCCTTCCTGTTCTCGGTGGAGACGCAGACGACCATCGGCTACGGCTTCCGGTGCGTGACGGAGGAGTGCCCGCTGGCGGTCATCGCCGTGGTGGTCCAGTCCATCGTGGGCTGCGTCATCGACTCCTTCATGATCGGCACCATCATGGCCAAGATGGCCCGGCCCAAGAAGCGGGCGCAGACGCTGCTCTTCAGCCACCACGCGGTCATCTCGGTGCGCGACGGCAAGCTGTGCCTGATGTGGCGCGTGGGCAACCTGCGCAAGAGCCACATCGTGGAGGCCCACGTGCGGGCCCAGCTCATCAAGCCCTACATGACCCAGGAGGGCGAGTACCTGCCGCTGGACCAGCGGGACCTCAACGTGGGCTACGACATCGGCCTGGACCGCATCTTCCTGGTGTCGCCCATCATCATCGTCCACGAGATCGACGAGGACAGCCCGCTCTACGGCATGGGCAAGGAGGAGCTGGAGTCGGAGGACTTTGAGATCGTGGTCATCCTCGAGGGCATGGTGGAGGCCACGGCCATGACCACGCAGGCCCGCAGCTCCTACCTGGCCAGCGAGATCTTGTGGGGCCACCGCTTCGAGCCCGTGGTCTTCGAGGAGAAGAGCCACTACAAGGTGGACTATTCGCGCTTCCACAAGACCTACGAGGTGGCCGGCACGCCCTGCTGCTCGGCCCGGGAGCTGCAGGAGAGCAAGATCACCGTGTTGCCCGCCCCGCCGCCGCCGCCCAGTGCCTTCTGCTACGAGAATGAGCTGGCCCTCATGAGCCAGGAGGAAGAGGAGATGGAGGAGGAGGCAGCGGCCGCTGCTGCCGTGGCCGCGGGCCTGGGCCTGGAGGCGGGCTCCAAGGAGGAGGCGGGCATCATCCGAATGCTGGAGTTTGGCAGCCACCTGGATCTGGAGCGCATGCAGGCCACCCTCCCTCTGGACAACGTCTCCTACCGCAGGGAGTCTGCTATCTGACCTCCAGGCCCCGCCCTCGTCACTTCCCACAATAGCCTCTGCCGGGGGGGTGGGATGCCAGGACACCCCCTCCACACTCAGGACAGAGCTGCCCCTGGCTCCGTGGACCTTCTGGAGGGAGGTGGGGGCTTCAGAGACTGCGGGACCCCTCCCCAGTGACTCCAGAGCCCAGGATACCCTCCGCCCTATCAGCCGACCCACTGGCGTCTCGGGGACCCCAGACCCACCACCCTTTTCCCACTGACACTCCAAGGACATGCCCCCTCTGCTCTCAGAACCTTGGGGAAGGCGGCTGGACTGCTGGGGGGGGTGGGCATCATGGGGTTCTGGGGTGGGCAGGGGTTAGTGCGGGGGGAGGGAGGGCGGGGGGTGCGTTTCTTTTGCATGACTGTGACCTGTTGCTCTTGACTTTCTTTTGTAAATATCTATAAATGGAGAGATGGAGGCACCGAATCCACCTTCTGCCATTTGTACCCGCAGGACAAGGAGGTGCAGCCCCTCTCCGTGATCTCCCCTCCCACCCCTCCCCGCCTGTCAAGCCTAGCCCCTCCCCCTGCCCAGCTAGCCGGCTGGTCCCCAAAGCCAGCCGTCTCGGCCCCTGGATGGTGTTGGGTTTGGGTGCAGAGGTGGGACCCCGGGGGGGCAGGGTGAGGACCGCCCCTCCCCGTGGTCCCTCCGGGTCCCCGGGTCCAGCCCAGATTGACAATGGAGTTTGTAACTATATATTTTTAATAAAGTATATGGTCCATTAGGGTTAGGCTGGCTGAAGATGGAAAGCTGGGAAGAAGAGACAGAGAGAGAGACCCACCATGATGTGAATGTGTCTGTGTGTGGTACGCCCGTGTCCCTTTCTGACCCCTGGAGGGAACTCTATCACCTGCGATTCTCCTTGCTGGGAGCCAAGGGGAAAGACCCCGAGAGGGCTTCAGAGGACCTGGGCTTGAGTCGCAGCTTTGCTTCTCACTAGCTGTGTGGCTGCCAGCAAGTTACCCATCTGCTCTTGGCCTCGGTTTCATCATCTGCAGAATGGGACGAACCATAGCTCCCTCCCAAGAGATGATGGGTGGTGGGAAAGCCCTGTGTGGATGTCAGTTAATCCCTTACAACCCGGGGAAGTGGGAAGGCCTGCATCTACATAGCACACACGCACACACACCAGGCCGGGCTGATGAATTTGGCCCCAGGACACTGGTGGGAAGGGCTCTCGGGGACAGCTGGGAAACCTGACTTGGTCTTTGGGCTTCAGTTAGCCTGAGCTGTGTAACAAGCCAGCCCTCAAACCTAGACGACGGTGCTTTATTCTTTCTCAAGCGGGGTGCTTCCTTGTGTGATGTCTCTGGGCCTCACTCCAGCGTCAGCTAGGCCGTAAGGCCCAAGATGGCTGTCAGCTAGGCCGTAAGGCCCAAGATGGCTGCACCCACAGGTCAGGTAGTTGATGGGGCTGTCAGCCGGGGTCTCTCTTCCTCCAAATTCCTTCATGGCCTCTCAGGGGAGCAACCTAAGAGGGTGAAGGCAGAAGCTAGTGGGTCTCTTGAGCCTAGCCTTGAACTTGTATAACATTTCTACCACATTCCATTGGCCCATCAGGTCATGGGGCCAACCCGAATTCAAAGGATGCGAAATCAGACTCCGGCTTTGGGGAGCGTGGTAAAGTCACACGGCAGAGGGTGTACACACCGGGGTGGGGTTGTGGCCCTACTTGGCAGCCTATCACAGAACCTTTTAGTCTGAGAGTTCCTCCCAGCCCTACCTCGAAGCTACATGCCAACTGTATACCTGTGAAGTATGAAGAAGCAGAGGGACCCTCCGTATTCCCAGGAATCTTCTACGTAAAGGTGCCACCACCTCAGGAAACCCAAGGAACCAGCAGCCAAGCCCCCCTACTGTGAAGCGCGAGGAGCTCCATTATGAATGATCGCCTGTCCCCAGCTCTGGCAACATGGCCGCCGTTTGGGCAAAACACGGCGCGTCCCACGTGTTTTAGCAGTTCTCACAAGCGAACCTGGGACCCAAGCCCCTCAACAAATACCTTGTCCTAATGCCTCCTGCTAACACGACCCCCTTCACATCCCTTTGTTCTGTGAACTCTTACCAAACACCAAGGGGCAGGGAGATAAGGATGGTGGTCTCACTTTACACACGAGGAGGTGGAGACCCAGGAACGAAGGGCCTGGCTTGAACCAAGGTGAGGACCGTCAGAGCCAAGAGGCCCGCTTCCCTTTCACTCACCCTCTCCCAGGCAGGGACTGAGAGGATATGTGTCCCCATCCAGATTTCCCAGAGTGTACCTGTGACCTCTGGAAGCCTCAGAGGGCACACAGGGACCACTCAGCAAGACAAAGGGCTGCTTCCCAGTTGCCCACGCTCTCAGGACTCCGTTGGTGCCCTTCTGCCAGGCAGGAACACCCTGGGGTGCTCACCTCCCACCCAGCCCATCAGAGATGTCCCTCCATTCCCCCTGGGGGCCCCTGGGAGGGCCTCACCGATCTCCCCCTCTCCTGCCGACTTCATTCCCAGCATGCTTTGGTGCCTGGGTAACCGGCAGTAACTAAAGAGGACCTCGGACTCAGGCCCCCTGGGGCTCCGAATCTTTGACCCGGAACAATCTTAGAGGTGAACAGGAGGGCATGTTCTGAGGACACAGGGTTGGAAAAAGCAAGGACTGTCTGGGGTGTCAAAGAGGAGGGCCAGCACGGGCACTGGGGAGGGGGCAGGGGGCAGGGCGCAGGGGGCAGGGGCACGGAGCTGCACGGAGGCCCCAAGGCCACTCGGGCTGCTTGCAAACCCCTGCTTGCTTCGCTGGGTGCTGACTCACCTTCCCTCTCCCACCTGCTCCCCGCGCACAGCCCTCCCACCTGCTGCTGACAAGCAGCAACTCTGATGTGTCTCACTTCCCGGCAGCACTGAAATGGGGGGGGGGGGGAGGTCCTCTGTCTCTGGGGTAGAGAAACCTCAGGTATCATGGAGTCCGGAATCACAGACACGGGCCAGGCCGGCTGAAGGGGGAGACACTAAGGCCCTCCTCGCCGCACCCCCATCTACCCGCCCCACACCTCCTCTGCCCTGCCCTGCCCTCCCTCTTCCCACCCCCCCTTCAGTCACAGCAGGGGCAGTGGTGGGTGGCTGGGAGGGAAGGAATGGAGACAGGGATAGCAGGTGGGAGAAGGAGAGGAAGAGAAGGGGGGCAGGGGGCGAGGGGGGTGTGGCCTAATGGAGCCGAAAGCCACCCCCTCATCTTGCCTCAAACCCCACCTTTCGGGCCTGATTCCTGTCAGTTGTCTTTGCTTCCTTCCCTCCGGGCTTCTGAAAACGTCTTCCTTGTGAACACAGCTCAGCTGTTTCACGAGGTCAAAGCCGCTCCTTATCTCCGCTGGTCCTTGGTTAGGTCACCGGCTACGACCTGGGGCCCCTTCTTCCTGCGTCTGGCTTTTCCCGCCATAGTTTGTTACGGGCACCGACTTTCCTTGGTATTGATGGCGTCTATGTATTTCCAGTTTTTAACGACTACGTAATGTTCGTAGAATCCTAGAGCCCAGCGAACAACCCGTCACTTCTAGGTGGGGAAACTGGGGCCTAGAGGGGCGTAATCCTGAACCCCGCTGTCCTGGACCCCGGCCCAGGGCCCTTGCCACGACTACACACAGAACCGGCCACACAATTGCGGGGTCCCTCGTTCAAAATTTGGGGGAACTGCCCTCCAGGGCACCAAAAATATAGAGCAAAATTTTTCGTTTCTTCGGATCACTCACCTTCTCTGCTCCCGGGCGCGCTGTGGTGTCTCGTCGGACCTCACTTACAAAACACAAGTCCAAGGAGAAAGTTAAGAACTTTAAGACAGAGACGAAGGGGATGAAATGAAGCTTAGGTCCCCCCTGTGAAGCCAGCCTTCAGATCACGACAAACGCTAGCTTTTCTCCACCACGCAGGACGCTCCAATCAACATCTTTGTCTAGACTTTGTGTTGTTATTTCTTGTTTTCCTTCACGTGGCCGTTTGCTCCGACTACGTACTCACAGAATTCTGGGCTACGTTGGCCAGACCAACCCCAGCATCCGGATCTTTCCACAAGGACAGTACACACCTGAGTCGTAAGGATGGCGAAGGGGTTGGTTGAAAGCCAGGGTCCCCTTCCACAGCTTCCCCAGAGGGGCTGTGTATTGAGAGGGTGCCCTCAGATAAGGAGAAATGGGTGGCTCCCCGCAGGCCACAGCAATGGCCCGAAGGCCGGAGCCAAGAGCAGAGAGTGGCCCCCATGTGTATCTGCCCAGAAGAGCGGCCTTGGGTGTGAGAGCCAGAGGGCCTCAGGCTTGAATTCTGCCTCTACCACCTACCAGCTACATGACCTGGGGCAAGTTGATTATGTCTCCAAACCCTGTGTCCTCATCTGTAAAAAAAAAAAAAGGGACCTTTCCTATTTTTCTCACATGCTCACATGGACCAAATGAGACCTCATATGTGAGCAGGCATGGATAGTATGATATTGGGCGCATTAAGGGGCCCAAATAAGTGTGGTTGCCTTCCGGAAAGGATTTTGATGGGCTCACCATATGAGACACAGTTTGAACACTGACCTCTGAGCTTCCTGGCAGCCATGCAAAAAGGGAACCCAGATAGAGCACTTAGCTCTTGGTGTATGAGGCGCTGGAGGCTAGAGAAAGAACTTGGGTTCTGACTTACCGTGTGATCCTGGGTAATCTCTTCCCTTCGCTGAACCTCATTTTCTCCATCTTCGAAGTTAGGGGGTTGGACCTAATGACATCTGGGGTCCTGACAGTTGTGACAACTGAGGATTCTAGTCAGAGGATTCTGTCAAAGGATGGCCGGAGGGCTAGGGGAGAGGGTGGGGAAGGACAGAACCAGCACTTGGCAAAACTGGCTGAGCCTATCTTCGTCCCCTCCTGTACGCACTGGCCACCTCCAGGAGCCACTTCTAACCACCCACAGACTGCCTCACCTCTGACATAAAAGTCCCTCCGCCTGCCCGGGGGGACCTCCCGAAGCAGAGCCATTTGCCTGCACCCTGGCCACCAGCTCCAACATCAGCGTCACTCGTACGGATTCTATGTCCATCCTTCCTTCCTCCCTCCCTCCCTCCCTCCCCCCTTCCTTCCTCCCTTCAACAAATACTTGTTGAGCACCTACTATGAGCCAGCAAGACCCTGTAGGAGCAAGCATTCAACACTGAACAAAACAGGTACAGATGTAGCTGGGAGCTGGGCCCCCAGACCTTCAACTCCAGACTTTGGCGCTGGGAGGGCAGCCCTGAGGCCTCTGGCCTGGGTCTTGATGCCCCCGCCAGGCCAGAGCTTGGGCAGT